TCCACCTTGTCCCTACAGCAGTTCAATTTTGGGTGCAGAAATGACCCAGGGCTGAAGCAGAATACAGACATCCGTGTACCAGCCAATGCCTTCAGCATCAGTTACAGTCATGCTGGCCCTACAGATCTTGAAACCTTTTCCGACCTTTGCCAAAGCAAGCAAGAGGTGAAAAGCAGCACTGGCACATTGCCTTTAGGACTTGGAGTGGAGGGGACAGTACTGTGAGTTCTGGAGACGTTCCTACATTGGAACAGAAAGTCTACTTTCTGTTCTAATGACTGGGCTTTCATGCCCTTAAGTAGGCATCATTCTCCCAATTCATTGCCTGTCCATGCTTCAAAGCCCTAGTGAGCCCTAGGTTTTAGAAGGACTCTCTGGAGAGACTACTAGGTCATGGATACTTTGCCAACAAACCAAGTGGGTTTTAGGCACAACTTATCTCCAAAACCCTTTGTACTAGCAGCCCATGGTGATGCCTGTCTCAGTCTATTGTGGTGGGTCCGGGATTTGAGGGGCTTTGTGGGGAGCCTGGGAGCTCAGACCTACAGCTCTGCCACTGCATGGCCAGAGGATCAACAGCAATGTCTGGCCTTAAACATCTGCATCCTCTGTAGTATCTCTGGGCCAATCGAGCAAACAGGTTGAAATGGCTCTGGTTCGAATTAGTCATGCAGGGAACACAAACAGAAGCATCAAATATGCTTTGAAAACTGGGTTCCCACACAAGATGAAAGGGAGGCAGAACGGCTGTGATACAAATATGACCCAGGAACAAGTCAGTATTTTCCAGGGTAGTGTCTAGTTTTTGCATTTACTTATGGCCATGCAAACTGTTTGTCACTGGAAGAGCATGCGCCAGCAGAGGTGGGAGATCCGTCTTGGATATCCGATACAGACTTACCAATAACCCCTCTCTCAATGGCAGCACCTCCTTCCAGCCCTTCAGCAGACCCCAGCCTCTCCAGTGGCATTTGCCCACCAAATACCAGTTCCCAAAAGGAGAACGTAGGTTGATGGAGGTGGGTGTCACAGAATTCTATCAGGCTTTAATACAAATAGGGAATTTCTTTGGGTCCAGGAGGAGGAAGGAAACCCAAGATTCACATCAATATGGAAAGTGATGAGGGACTCCTCCTTAGGAAAATACCACACCAGTCAGCCCAGGGCAGGGGTGTGGGTCTGGGACTGAAAGAGGACAGGTAGGAGAAATACTCACCACCCTGACAGGGAGATTGGTCCCCATATGGAAAAGAAATGTTCCCTGGAATCAATCAGATACAGTCATGCTAGGCTGGAGCTGATGTTTCTAATCCTGTATTTTTATGTATTAGATTATCACTGCTTTTCCTGCTCTGGACTTGTTCTGTGTTTTGTTTTACTTGCGCGATTTGCCATTATACAAACTTAAAGTAACAACTTTTTTGTCTTATGCTTAGCAAATCATGCAAGACGCTTCACTGGGACCACAAAGCCCCAGACTGATGAGACAGGCAAGAACATGACAATGAGAACAAGAGAATCCCCATCGTGTTCACTTCAAGCCCTGTTATCAGAACCATTATGCTAAAAAGTGACCTGGAGCTGCAGGTAAGAACCAAACTGTGGCTTTCACATTTATAGAGGAAAAGTATTTGTAAAGCAGGTGCCAAATATCTTGAACCCATTAACTGGTTTTCTGTTGCCTTTCAGGGTGTGGCTGAAATTTCTGCCATTAAAAATGGTTTTTATTTGAAGGTGATGGGGCAAGAAGTCTTGTTTCATTTTTAACACTAAGCCAAAAATCCCTAACCTGCTTCTGGTCCCCTTCATTATCCAAACCTAAAATGGTTACCTCTCTCCCCCGCAGAGTGAATATATATATATTCGATACATGCTAAAATACCAGAATAATCAGGAGCCAATTCTAAAGTACTAAAATGTTTACACTAAGTGCTAAAAAAAGCTTTACAGCTATACTACTGCATTCTACTGAAAGGAGAAAGCCCAAGTATTATACTGAGAAAATGCTTCAGAGGAGTTAGCAAAAGACTGCAAGAGGCTGGAGCCCCTCATGTCATTTCTTCACAGTAGCATCCGTCAGTGCTTTAGTTTTCTGTCTCACTTCACTTTTTGTGTTCTCCATTATTCAAGTTACTGCTTCCTTACTAGCCCAATTCCTTCCACAAAAGTAAACACAAAAACGTTGTGGAACTTGCACTTGGTGGTTTTACATATAGTTTATGCATACAAACAGAGCAGTACTTGCATGGAGTGGAACTGCTACAATCAGATAGATGCGTTTATGCAGCTGGAAAAATAAGTTTTTGAACATACAGGTCCCTCTCAGATTTAACACATCACTAAAACTTAGGCGGCATTTGCTGTGGAGACATGCTTCGTGTAGCTGTATTACCTCTTCCCATGCCCTGGCTCTGCCCAAACTTGCTGTCTGTGCAAGGCCTATCGCTGCAGAGCCCCATTCCTGGGCAGGACTATGGACTGCACACGAATAAACATTATTAACAAGCAACGTGTGGTGCAGGTGTTCATGGGTGAAAAGATACTGCAATCCACCCAACCTGGCAGTGCGTTGCATTGCAATAAGCACAAATCGATTCTAACACATTTTTTAGCTGCATGGGAAAAGAAGACAAAATTGGTTTTTTCTCACTGACTGCTTCTCACACAAATCCTTCTGCCAAGGACTCAAACTGCACTTGTAGCCTTTTTGTAGGCAGTCCTGTTAATCAAATTACAAAGATAAAAGTACAGAAAAATACTGAACAAGTAGACAGGACAGAAAAGTTGAATGAGCATTGGCTCTTCTTATTTTAATGAAGAAATATTTCAAGTTAATATCAGTGCATATTTAGAAATAGCATGTGATACTCCCAATGCAAAATACATCAGCAAATTACAGTTTCAAAATCTTATAAATTAATGGCAAGAAAAAAATAATTAAGATTAACAGAGAGAATAAGGTTCAAAATAAACATCTGTTTGTCTGTTGCACTGCATCAATTATATTCCTGGTACTTAAACAGCAAGGAAGATCCAGTATTTTGTGGTAATTAGGCTCTCCAAAATAGCAGTTATTTTTCTACAAATGAATTAAGCGGTTTCCATTTATTTTTGATGTATAATTAAATGTTATTCTTGGCCGTTACAAAGAAATTTAGTCATGTCAGAGTAAAATTTCATTCCATGATTGAAAAATCACACTAACATAGGAACACTGCCTTCTGGTTATACCCACTGGAAATAGTCAGCTGAGAATAGGAAGAACTACATGTGAGCCTATTTGGCTGTTACATAAAATGGCTTTTTTTTTTTCTGGTTTCACAGCCTCATAACAATACTGTTTTTCAACATTGTTCCCAGTCATTGTTTTTAAAACGGTTCATCAACATATCCTGAATCAATCACTGATATAAATAACTCCAGTGACAAAATCCATTATGGAAGGACGCAGAACTACAAACTGAAAGTTGTACCAAATGATTTTAAGGTGGACCTGTAATTACTCTATAAAATTCTGTAAAAAAAACACCACACAGTAAAAGCAGTATCTTTAATTAACTGGCAATGGTGGAACCTGAAAAACTGAGTTATAATTTTAAGAGACATTAACTGAAAGGACTCCAATGCGAGACAAACTGTACCGAAGCTAGAGATGCACATTTAAAGCTTGCAAGTGTGATATAAAAATATTCTCTAGTTTTTTTATTTTGATACAGGGAGACCATTTTCCCTAATGGAAGAAGATAAAATACATCCTCTTTCCTACCCCATCGCTGCGTGTATAGACTATTGCCTGGGTATCAGGAAATGGCATTTCCTCAACAAAAATACCAGCCATGGGGATCGCAGACCTCCTGGTTGTTGATTTTGCTTTTTGAAGTATATTTTCAAGCAGGTGAAATACTGATTAGGTATGAATTTCTTTTACTATGTTGTGGTTTAGTCTATCGTGCAAATCATACACATCAACCCTGTAACTTTAATCCAACTGCAGTCCTCACCGCCTAGAATGATTTGAGTATTTAGCTTGATATTACAGCATAGAGATGACTGCCAGATTATGAAACATCAGGCTAAATTAGATTAGCAGGAAAAGGCACATGCTTCAGATTTAGCAGGAACACCTGAAGGATCCTTGTTACCATATCCTTACGCTCCTGAAGTTACAGTAATTCTGTGCATTACCCAAACAACAGAGTTTGCTTACAGAAAATCATGAGGTAACAGGAAACTTCTGCTTATGGCACGTACACATGAAAGACCTGTGAGCTCAGCTGAAATGCTTGAGGTGCCAGGGGTAACACAGACACAAGGTAGGCTACAGTCTGGTTAGGCCAGAAACAAAAACGTAACATTTCATTATACTGCATACAGTCCTTTTACACACAAATACAGGGTACGCAAAATAAGCTGTTTGCTCAGTAAAATTTAATGTTTTGCCTATGTAAAATAACCAGCTAATACTGCCATATAATCAGAAATCATGCACTAGATAAACAGAGCTTCTTCCCCATGAACAGTAGTTCTCAGGAACATTTTATTCTGCTTCAGGTAACAACATCTCATGATTTGCCAGCTTACATAGTCCCTTTTGAAGAACACAGTATTTAGCTAAAACTGAAAAGCAAACTTAAAAAAGAAAGTAAAGAAAAAAAGTTTATTTTAGTTGCGATACAGCTGGGATAGATGTAACTGAGCTGCTGCAATGCACCAACGAGTAACGAAAATTCAACATGAATATCAGAAGAATAAATATATACCCTAAATTAATCTCTGTAAATACATTCATAGGTCCACTTAAGACACCCTTATGTGTCACTCATACTTGATCGAATCTGCAGGTAGAGATGGATTTTAGTTCATGGGGAAAGCAATTTATCACAACTTGGTTTATCGGTCATTATTCCAGCAAAAATCAGTAGCAAATTTGAAAATCTACATTTATTTTCCCCAGACCAACCACACAGAGGCTTAAGTCACAAATTCTATTATCTCCAATATTCGGTCAATAAGGCTTTATTTACACTTCTTTACTATAAAGTCAGGAAAAAGTTTGGTGCAATGTGCAAGAAAAGACTGCACATTTCACTAGAGACTAACATCTGCTTATGGTTTAATGCTAACCCACAGGCAGCCAATTAAAGTCCCATATATCCATGTTTTTACATAAAGTTTCCTTCCAGATTCTGTCAGAAGCATACTAGCAGTCAGGCCACCTAAGAACAGCAAGGATGGCAAAGTTTTCTTGAGGCTTAGTTTGGAATGAACACTTTTCCCAGGAAACTTATTTCTTCTTTTAGAATCCTTCGCATCATAAAACTCTATTAGTAACCTACAAGCAGACAAAAGGAGATGGTCAAAATTAAACAGTAGTGTAAGAAGTTTTAAGCAACTTATTTTCATGCAATAACTGCTTCTAAGCACACATTATTTAACGAATGATTTCACAATAAGTAGCAACTCATCTATAACAAGTTTAAATGATCAGGATGCCATAAGAATATGATGCATTCAAAGTAATGTTGCTTGTCAGAGTACCCAACCTGAACCCTTGTAAGCAATAAAAGCAGATTTTCTTTGGGGACTAATTTTAACCCTGAATATAAAAGTTGAAAAGAATCTTTTTCATTCAACATTTAGCAGATACGCCCAGAGTACTGGGCAATATCATAGGACGAAACAGCACACAGTTAATAATTGAACACCAAACGAAGGGGAAAAGCTATCTTTACAGAATAAATTCATAAATAACACGGGTTCACAAGACACTAAACATTTTGGAAACAAGATGTGCAAAAGTAAAATGCAACACCACTAGTTTAACAGTAACTTTTTTCCTCCCATTTTTGAAAACCAGTAATAAATGGATTTGAAAATCCTGGGGTTTTGTTTTGAGTATCTCTAAATTTGCCTGACAGACTACTTTGGTCCCAGAAAAGACGTTACAGTCAACAGGAGTCTACAAATGAGACACAGATGACCAGTGTTCAGTTTTGCTGATCTTCACTGGAAGACTACTAAAGTGACATTGGACAGCCTTTTATTTCACGTATCAGTTCCTTCATTTAGTATTTGTTTATTCCTGTATGTAGTTTATGTATCAGATTATACAATTAAGTTCAGACTTTCTTCCTCTCAAAAGTGAAGAAAAGAAAAATTACTTAGTGATCCTAAACTTCTAAGACACTTAGTAACAGTGTCATGTCTACAGACAGTCATGTTAAGTTTTACATGGATACAAAAATCACAGGAAAAATCTATCAGTTTTTTACTTCCATGCAGTCTGAGATAGGCAGAAAAATTTTAAAGCAGAACATACCTGAAGAACCAGGGAAATTTCTGTCTCACACAAGGTATTCAAGGATTTAGATTCAACTCCCTTAAACTGGACTTCAGACATGGCAAATTAAACCATTGTCTCTCAAGCCATACTTGATACATTTAGGCACAAAGTCCTGGAGCACAAGGTCCCCCAGGATCTTTTGCATATGCTCACCATTGACCTTATCTGGTGATGCTGGAGGGATCCAGGTACTTTAGTTCTGCCACAGTTCAAAGATGGACAGATAAAATTTCTACTTCCCCAGTGAAGGCAGGGAGCTCAGCATTACTTGTGGTTTTATCCAGTCTCTGTCTGATGAAATATGCAGAAACAATTTTGGTAGAAGAGACAAGATCAAGACCCGCCCCTCTCTAACTCTAACCTGACACTGATTGTGAGGTTAGATTCAAACTGCTTTTTGCTTGCTTGCCTACTGCAAGCATCTTACATTCCCCACTGCACATGACTCAGCTACAAGAAGATGAATCAACAGTATCAGAGGAATATGAGTCGCACCTGGAACATGGGCTCATACCTCTTCAATCTAAGGAAGGTTTAGAACCCAGGAATCCCAGCCTCCTGACCAAAAGATTTAACCACAAGTTTGTTGTACAAAATATGCACAGGAGTACCAATAGCACCTATCTTCAGAGAGCCCTACACTGCTGGTAACACAGAAATCATGGGGTATACCTGTTAAAATAAAAGCAGTAAGCTTCTTGAAAGTTCTGCATATTGCTACTCACTTATCCTTTATTTCAAAACGTTCATGAAGCCACCTTCTCATATACATCTGCTCTTCTGGAATGTCCTTCAGTTCAATTCGATCAATAAAAATATGAACTCTTGGGCACTCCTTGCAGAGAAACTCTAAAAAGAGAGCAAACCAAGAATTAGTTACAAAGACACTCTAGGGCATTTATTTGTCTAAAATACACTGAAAATCTGACATGGTAGCTGCAAGTCCCTTGGAAGCCTAACTTCAGTTCTCAAAGCCTCTCTTCTTTATGTTTGGATCCTGAGCACTTCACTGAACTTAGGAGCCATCTGGCCTACACACTTTTGAAATAGTGCCACATTATCATATGCAGCATGGAAAAATTGTCCTAAAATGCTGTGCTTGGAAAAGCAGCCATTTACTCATTGGGACGCAATAACTTTGATGTTGTAAAGTTATTCAGCCTGCCATTTTGATTAAAGTTAGTAATCCTCTTTGCTTGTCCTTTTTGAAATCTAAATTTTGTTTGCTCTTGGATGACAAAATTGGAATAACAGTGATTTCCCAAAGTATTGCCAGGAAGAAGTGGGCTTCAGTTTAAGTAATAACCTATAATTAAAAAGTGTAATAGGGCAAAGGGCTCAGAACAAAATGCTGCTTTCCATTTCGCATCTCTTCATTTTTTTTCTGTCTTACAAAGCTAGAGACAGCCCTTTTGCAACCCCCCTTCCCCATTTCCCCAACTTGTCCCCCCAAAAATTTAGCAAGTGTTAATTACAAACAAAACTCCATTAATCAAATAGCCTTGTGGGATTTCTTACAACTAACAAGTGGTAAAAATACTGCACATGGGACGAAAAACCCACCAGTACTTGTGTATTTGTTATCATTTGCGTTTATTGTAGTAACCATAGCATCCCTGTACAAAGAAAGAGATGCATGATGTGAGGATGGAAGTCCTTAGAAATTTGTATAATCTTTGTATTTTGAAAAGGAACCAGAAATGCCTTCCTACAGTACAGACAGGTAACAAATGTTACACAGACTGGGTGGTCCCTTTAGGTTGTTGACATTTTTTGGACAGCAGTGCAGATGTACAGAAGGCTTTGACCTATAATTGTTAGGGGTATCTTGAGGAATGACCATGCAAAATAATTGTTACTGCATGTACATCTTTATTATTGCCTACCAAAGCAGATACTCCCCTATTTGTTTTTCTTCTTTAGCGGATTATTGATTTTTATGGACTTTGCTAAAAAAGCAATACATATACATACATACTAGAAATTGTCTTAAAGAATTTTAAAAGCCTATTCATGCAAATGTGTTTGTGTGTTGTAGAGGGGTAGGGAAGGAGAAGAGAAAAAGAAAACAGTAAAGTCTTAAGGCATTTTGATGCTGAAATCTGTGAGGTGCTATATGCAGTTTTGTCTAGTCCTCAGGCAAAGAGAGCCCTTTACTGAACTGCACCATAGGGTAAAGAGAGCAACATGGCCCATGCACCAACCGAAGAAATGGCTGAGGGCTCTAACCAGGAACAGGTCCACCACCTTGTCATGGAGTACCAAACAGAACTGTTGCTAAAAAGCTTCTGGTAAAACTGTCTCCTAGCTACAGCTATTAGATGGCAGGCACTACAAGTACTAGTTTATGTGCAATGCTTTCACTAACTACAAAGAAACCAGCATTCATCTATCTGAAAGCAGTTTTTTCCTCTTGTTTTTAATGGGAAGAAAGGATTTTCCAGGCTGTTTCTCTGAGGATACTATCCAGGCCACTATATACAGGTCATTCACTATATGAGCGCCTAAAAGCATACTATTAATATTTTAAAATGACAGCTGTACTATCCATGTCTTAAATGCTTATAATGTTCACTGATGTACAAATCCTCTTTTTGAGTGACATTATCTATTAAGTGGAACATCCTAAAAATACGCAAAACTGTATCTAGAAAACAAATGCCCAGAAGCCAGATGATAGTCTTTTTTCTACTAGTCTCCTATAAAACCCATCTATTTTATGCATATTCAGCTAGAGCTGACGATCTAGTATTAAAAAATATTTGAAACACTGTGTGCATTGTACAGTGTGTGTTTCTTTTACTTCACAGGACATAGGTTCTGTATGTTCTGTATGTTCTGTATGTTCATATATGTTCTGTATAGGAACAAACAACTCTTTCCTGATGTTATTCATCATCTCAGTTGTAAATGATTAAGGAAAATTATAAACAAAGCAAAATTCTAAGTAAGATGAGATAGCATTACTAATAGCCATATGGTATTTTTAAAACTAATGTTAAGCTGCTTAAAAAAATACTGATATTTCGTCATTTAAAGATGGCAAGTGAGTACATCAATACTGTCATCAATAATAAGCTGATAAGCTGTAGTTAACATAACAGGAATAAGACATAAGTATTTCAAAAGAAACACCTTTCCCAAGCAAGGCTGAAATGTAACAACTTTACAAATCTGCTTAGGAAAGAAAAAAACTGCACAAATAGCTAAGCATTGCTGCTGGCTTTCTACCTTATGCCCAAGTTCCAGGGTAAGTTGATTCTTACTCCTTCCTGCACTGGTCATCTTCAACCAGTCTAAATCAAGTTCCCGTAAGTGAAGATCCTAAAACTTTGTCTTAATTTCCTACCTTTGTAAATCCCAGTGCTCTTCTCCACAGCTTTCCTCTCCCTTGAAGTTTAAGACTTTGTACAGCCTCCTCAAAGGCTATGTGGTCTGCAACTGCAGGTGCTCCCCTAAAGAGGATCATGATTCCCACCCATTGAGTCAAGGCCATTCCAAAGCCTGGGCATCCAGGACAACTGCAGGTGACACTGTAATGCATGCAGTCAGGCTAGTCAGGGAATCTTACTCATCTTTAATTACCCAATTCAAGTCAGAGTTTAATTCAACTAATCAAATTTATTTTTTTTTTTTTAGATGCATAATGTCACTGCAATCACATTAAGAACACCAGTGGGTAAGAACAATATAGTGAGAGGTTTTTGAGAAGAAACAGCTGGATTTTATCACCACAACCTCTAAAGGTTTTTGGTGGTCCCATGACCCTTAATTTCACATTAGCTTAACTCCCAAAAGACTTATGTAATTAAGCTAAGAAACAAAATCTTATTGAAGCAATTTATTATGTGCAAATTACATCCAACTTCAGGCCTTAAGGCAAGCATCTGACAGGCTTTTCAGATCCCTAAACTTGCCAGGATTTGTTATAATTAACAGCAGGAACAAGCAAGCCTGAACTTCCCTTCAAAAGACAAAACACAAATCCAAATCACACATTATCATCAAATACCATATTAGTCCATCAAGAACTGAGTATGATTTGGGTTAAATGACCACGAACCTTGTGTGGGAGCCAAGTGGACTGACTTTCGTGTGGGAGATAACTTCCTAATAAAACTTTCTATCTGGCTAAATAACAGATACAAGTATAGAATGTTTATAATGCTTCTAGTGATTCACACTGACACAGGACTGAAGATGTAGCGTAGAATTAGGATTAATGAACAGCCTCCAAGAAAGGAATGGGATCCACAGAGCTTTTACTTGCAAATTAATGTTTTGGGAGAGTGTTCTGCTTGCTGAGGCTTCCACAAAATTCTATCAGTTTTCAACCTCTCCACTTCAAAAGCTGATTAATTCTGTTTTAAATTATCAGCATTACCAGGGAAAGTAAGGGAAACGGAGAGCTCCAAGCACAGACATACCTGTAACTCAGAAGGGACATACAAAGGGCCTCAGGCAACCTTCCCCCTTAATGCTACCACAGAAGTTCATTCCAAATTATCTGCCTTGCCCCTTAAGTTGTGAAAGTGGCGTTACACTTAAGCAGATACTCCAGTTTTCAATTACTAATGAAGTCTATTTTTATATGCACTTTAAATACGACAGCATTAAAGTAGCTCAGATTTCAGCCTCCTACGTCTGCTCTTTTACTGCAATGTAATTATTGCCGAAGTCCTTCAAAATTAAGAAAGGACAAACTGAAGCCTGACATAGTCATGTCCACTTAAAGAGCCCCCTGTTCTCTTCTGTTTATTCTAACTAACGAGTATTTCAAATGTGTAAGAATATGTCTCTTCAGTAACAGAACAATTGCTTGTTGTGGTGTGTACAGTTTTACAAGGAAAACCATAATAGCAAAGACGTTCCTCTCTGAACTGTAGATGCTTTCTGCACCACAGGAAAATTAGATTTTCATTAGTCTGGACTTACGTGTTCAACTATCAAAGCAGCTGGTAAACTATCTCCTTCTCAAAGAAAGAAATGCCATCTCTCAACTTTCCTTTACCCCTTCGTACACTAAATTAAGAAGCAATAGGCAAAACAAACATAAATTCAAGTGCTGAGTTGTTTCTCAGCTTCATGCTTTCCATCACTTCAAGTTGAACTGACAGGGAACTATTTCAATGGCTTGCTCTAACAAAATAAAGCAGTGATACAGCAAAACAGCACTAGATGGAAAGCAAACATCCAGGGTACAGCAAAGGTTGCTTAGATGTGTTAACCAGAGGGTCAGTGGAGGAAAAAGCATCTGAGTGGGTCTGAAACCTGCATGTATGGCTTAATGGGAAAATTAAAGAGGCTACCACTATTACGGTCCTACCTTCTCTACTTTGAGGAATGGCAAGGTTGGGCAAATAGGGAGAACCCAAAAAAACACTCATGCCAAATATAAACATAAAATGAAGAAGACTAAAAAGGATCTTGAAAAAAGCAAAGGATGCTCTAACAACTTTACTTTTTCTTTGATATATTAAAAGCAGTAAAGCAGCTAAGGCACTGGTGGGACTGCTGGATGACAAAGGTGTGAAAAGCAGCACCTCCATGGAAAGGAAGCTCAAATATTTGTTTGCATTATTCTTTCTTGCTGAAAATGTTTGATTCCTACACCCACGGCATTCTTTGTACCAGATCGCTCAAAGGAACTAGATCAATAAGTAAACAGACAGAAAGTATTAGACTAAATAAACAAGTTGGATGTCAGGAAGTCACCAAGACCAGACAGCATTCATCCAAAAGCTCTCAAATGTGGAATTTAAAAACAAAGATGTATAACCTATCATCACAAACAGCCATTGTGCCAGAAAAATGGGGAGTTTCCCTTCTACAAACGAGAGCTTTAGAGA